TTAATCTGAGAATCACTTGCTGCTGCCAAGGATGGCCCCATATGGACAGCCTAAAGACTACTGCGGATGGTAACACATGGATCCCCTACAGATGGCTGTAGACGGTCTCACTTGGAAAGCTGAAAGACTGCACTTACTGAAAACAGTTTACACTCAAGTCTCATTCATGATTCAGTGGATAACTTTACTTGGACACTACAGACCTAAAGTTAAAAAACACTAATGGAATAAAAAAATTAACTGATGCTTGTACTGAAGATCCTTTCAACACACTTTGTACTGTTTAATGTAATGGTATACAGTTGTGAAGAAATAATGATTCATAATCCCACTATGCAGTGTCATCCAGAAGATGATGTGTTCCCTTTTGAGTCTGGTTCCTCTCAAGGTTTCTTCCTCATGTCATCTCAGGGAGTTTTTCGTCACCTCTGGCTTACTCATTAGGGATCTTAATCTTAATCTATATCCAGATTTCTGTAAAACTACTTTGTCACAATGTCCATTGTTAAAAGTGCTATACAGTATAAATCAAACTGAACAGAAAATATTTGCCTGATGCTAAACTAAGACAAATAACAGTGTCAATCAAATGCTAGCATTTTTATAATTCGTGTTATTTTAAATAACAGTCACTAGACTGTAGCTCAAGATTATGACAGTGTTTCACACAGTATATACAGTATACTTGCATGACATGGTCAGACGTGCAGTATTTCACAGGTTTAAAAACGTTTTAAAATTATTTATTTTTACCCTCTTTTGTTTAATTAGCAATGGTAGAAAATTATTTTAATGTAATTCCTATATTGAAGAAAATCCTTTGTGAAATTTTTCACACCAGTTGCTTTCCTAAACAATATACAAAACATTTAATTGTACAAATTGCTTCAGATTTCAGTGTTTTAAAAGCAAATTATATAGTGCTGTATGATTAGCAATGCAGGACTTAAGCAAATTGTGGTCCTCATGTGGTTGTGGTTATAAGATTTTGTGCAGTGGAATGCATGATAAGATTATCAAGGTGTGATAAGTTGTAAATGGTCTACACATGCACTATACATACCAAAATTATGTGGACACAGGCTTATCAACCATTGATTTGGGTACTGTTTTCAGGTTGGTTATAGCAGTGGTGCAAGAATTCAAGAGATTTAGTGAAATCAGTTATAGATATGAAAAGATCCGGCTCACAAATGGTGATTTACTTAATCGTAAATGCTGATAAAATTGAGGGTCTTTGGAGTAAGATTATATGCTATATCTATCTAATCAGCTGCACAAAGCTCCTAGGGAAGATGGCCCCACAAAATCTGGCATCTTTTCTAAGGCACTGTACAAGTACAACATAAACAGTTACTTCTGGTTAAACACTAGGTCTGTTACTTTGCTGTAAATGTGAGGTGCCAATAAAAGAACAAGTGTGTTGTTTTAGCAGTGCTGCATGAGCAAGGGTCTTACTTGCCAATGCCACGATATAAAGGCATGTCTAATTTTCTTGGTATTTTTAAACAAAGCAGTAAGCTACAGTAAGCACCATACTCCTTAACTGAATCTCTGGGAGTTAAATCATTGGTAATACAGTCAGTAGTCAATCCAAATTAATTCAGTCTCATGGAACAAATCATAATTTAGGTTTATAGCCAAATACAATTGTAGTTCATCATGTTGTGTTGCCACATGATATAACCAAGCAGTAAAATATACTGAAAGGCAGAATGGATCACAGCATACCTTGTAGCACACCACAAGTAACAATGGGATTTGACACACAACAGCACACAAGAAAAGCACATTCTCTATTAGTCAATCCCAAACAGCCTCTCCAGATAATTAGTTTGTATGTTAGTTAAATTAGTAAAATTGAGTGATCTATGGTATCAAAGCAATCATGAGAGATCATGATCATTTATGAACCTAAGGAGGACAGGTCCTGTGCTATGGTTTTATACTCTCACTCATCTCAAGAAGTTGTTTCATATTTTGAAATAAAAAATAAGATTTTATTCAATTGATTTGATTATAAACATGATTCAATTGATATGATTAGAAACATGATTTTGTCTACATCTGATGTAGTACAGTAGGGTAGCATAAAATCTTTCATCTCTTAGGCCATAAACAAGTGGACTGACTGCCCTGGCAATGACATTGAACATTATAAAATTGAAAAAGCGAACTGACAAATATAACTGAATATCTAGCTCCTTGATTAATGTTTCAATATAGGGACAAATAATTTCAACAGTACACAGTGTAAGCTGAAGCATATGCAAAGAGACGGTGCGCAGACCTTTGACTGCTGACTTCTTGTCAACAGAGGCTGCTCGGGCAGAGATCACAATCATAACATAGCAAAATAACTCAACAAGTAAAACCATTATAAAATTAATAATATATACAACACCCCTCATTACACGGTGCCAGTTTTCTGGCATCATAATTTCATAATGACAGAAGGTAAACTGAGACAGATATTCTTTCGAGGCAGTTATGACAAGGATGAAAACATCCACAAATGACTTTAGGGAGCTTATGATCCAAATGATAAAAATAGCTGTAAGGGTCCTGCTAACAGTAGAGATAGCACTATGTCTCAACGGCATGCAAATGGCCACGTAACGTTCCACACACATTGCGGTGATAGTTAGCGGTGTGCATGTTGTAATTGTCTCCATGAGCATGCAAAATGGAATACAGAATGCCATGGGCATCAGTACATAGCTGTATGAGAGAATTACTACAAAATCTGTCAGCACAAGAAAAATCAAGTCCACAAATAAGGTATGGGCAAACAGTATATAACGTGTTTCAGTTCTGAAGGCTTGTTTTCTGGAAAATGTAAGAAGCATGAGGATGTTGATGTAGATGAATGGCCACACAAAGATCTGGGTTATGGCCATTGATACATTCAACCTTACTGATGCTGAATGGACCAGTTGCAAATGATGACTGCTGTTACACTCCTCTGTACACATATCTGGAAAAAACATATGTCAATGTAATTACAACTGTGACATAAAAATTATAAAATTATAAAAAAGTACAAACAAAAATACAAATAATTATTATGATAACAGAACTAGGATGCAGAAGCTAAGTACAAATTAGACATTTTAATGAAATACAACAGATGGTACCAGAAATATCTACCGGTGCATATGGTAAAATACTCATTTTTTAATGCATTACCTGCAGGTGTAATGGAGTTTTCCTGAATACTAGAGACACTGGACAAAAACATATATATGTTTGACCAGACTAATTTTAATATCCAATTACTGATGTCATCAACATGTAAGATTAAGTAAATGGAAGGTGGGGGCAGGCAACTGTAGGGCTCGAAGCAAATGATATACACCGATCAGCCATAACATTAAAACCACCTGGCTAATATTGTGTAGGTCCCCCTTGTGCTGCCAAAACAGCTCTGACCTGTCAAGGCATGGACTCCAGAAGACCTCTGAAGGTGGTATCTCGCACCAAGACGTTAGCAGCAGATCCTTTAAGTCGTGTAAGTTGCGACTTGTTTGTCCAGTACATTCGACAGATGCTCGATCGGATTGAGATCTGGAGAATTTGGAGGCAAAGTCAACACCTTGAACTCTTTGTCATGTTCCTCAAGCCATTCCTGAACACTTTTTGCGGCGTGGCAGGGCGCATTATCCTGCTGAAAGAGGCCACTGCCATTAGGGATTACCGTTGCCATGAAGGGGTGTAGTTGGTCTGCAACAATGTTTAGGTAGGTGGTACGTGTCAAAGTAATATCCACATGAAAGACCCAAGGTTTCCCAGCAGAACATTGTCCAGAGCATCACACTGCCTCTGCCAGCTTGCCTTCTTCCCATAGTGCATCGTGGTGCCATCTCTTCCCCAGGTAAGCGATGCACACGCATTCGGCCATCCACATGATGTAAAAGAAAACATGATTCATCAGACCAGGTCACCTTCTTCCATTGCTCCATGGTCCAGTTCTGATGCTCACGTGCCCATTGTAGGTGCTTTCGGTGGTAGACAGGGGTCAGCATGGGAACTCTGACCAGTCTGCGGCTACGCAGCCCCATACGCAGCAAGCTGTGATGCACTGTGTGTTCTGACACCTTTCTATCATAGCCAGCATTAACTTTTTCAGCAATTTGTACTACAGTAGCTCTTCAGTGGGATCGGACCAGACGGGCCTTCACTCCCCAGGCGCATCAGTGAGCCTTGGGTGCCCATGACCCTGTCGCCGGTTCACCAGTTGTCCTTCCTTGGACCGCTTTTGGCAGGTACTAACCACTGCATACCAGGAACACCACACAATACCTACCGTTTTGGAGATGTTCTGACCCAGTCGTCTAGCCATCACAATTTGGCCCTTGTCAAAGTCGCTCAGATCCTTATGCTTGCCAATTTTTCCTGTTTCCAACACATCAACTTCGAGAACTGACTGTTCACTTGCAGCCTAATATATCCCACCCATTGGCAGGTGCCACTGTAACGAGATAATCAATGTTATTCACTTCACTTGTCAGTGGATTTAATGTTATGGCTGATTGGTATATTTGCATACGATAAAACAACATGCTAGGATTACACTGTGATTACAAACAGATAAACACAATATTTTTCCAGTAAGTTACTTGATCTTTCCCAGCCTTTAAATAATCACTGTCACATTGTTAACCTGTTAGCTACATAATTAAAACTTAAAAAGTTTTTTTTTTTGCATACTGAAATTTAGTTAGGATTCCTTTGCCAGCAATGACCCAGTAATTAGATCTTTAAGGGCTGTGAAAGTGATATTATACTTGTATGGGAACCCTTTTTAACCTTGTGGTTATGAAAACCTTTAAAAACTCATAAATGTTTGTAATGGAATATTACCATAATTCTTCAAACCACAAAGATCCCATGTAGGGGAAAAAGCAAATCCTATATCTGTCTGAATCGCACAAATAGATCATTCACTCAGTCATTTGTGTTCAGTAAAATTTGTTTTTGTACCACTTTACTTTAACTGCACCCGGCTAGCTCAGTTGGTAGAGCATGGGATGTTTGATCTCAGGATCATGAGTTTGCGCCCCATGCTGGGTGCCAACCCCAGCCACTGGGGGTGCATAGGCTAGTGCACTCTCAGTGCTGGTCCCAAGCCTGGACAAAATGGCGAGGGTTGCGTCAAGAGGGGCATCTAGCATAAAATATGCCAATTCAATATGGGGACAATGGAAGGTGATCTGCTGTGGTGACCTGCTGTGGTGACCCCTAACAGGAGCAGCAGAAACAACCACTTTAATTACCAACAGAAGCAGATCACAGTTAAATAGGTCACGTACCATATTAGCAAATGACACTCAGTTAGATTTTCAATGTCAGTGCCTTTCCCAAACAATGTCTAAATATACAGTCACTGGCCACTTTATTAGGAACACCTGTACACATGCTCATTCATGCAATCATCCAATCATATGGAGAATAGGGCCGTGTATATATAAATGTATCTGTAGAGCAGACTGTGACATTTTACATCGCCTTCATTAATTTATATATGTGCTTTCCTAAGACCCTCAGATTACCTGTGATGTCTGGCACCCTGATTCCAGGTATACAGCTAACAAGCTTTTTCACGCTATTTCAAGCCTTAAGGACTGAGGTAGCTGACAGTTCACTTTGGTCTTTTCTATGCTCTACCTATTTCTGATCTGATGACAGGAACAGGAAGACTAGATTAGAGTTGTTCTGGAACAACATCCTTTGTCTCAACAACAGATGAGACAAAGAACAACTTGTACCAGAATGATGGGAAGAGAAGAGTATGGACAAGGGGAGGAACTACTCATGATCCGAAGCATACCACCTCATCTCATGGCATGGGCATGACTGCCAAAGGAACTGGTTCCCTTGTATTTATTGACGATATGACTGTTGACAAAATTGGCTGGGTGAATGATGACGTTTATAGGGCTATATTATCTGCTCAGATCCAGCAAAATGCTTCAAAACTCACTGGACCAGATTCAGCCAAATGCTGAAGTAATCAGTGCTGGGGTAGTTTTAAAAAAAAGTAATGCATTACAAATTACTAATTACTTCTTTCAAAATGTAATGGGGATTACCTTACTCTTTACTTCCTGGAAAAAGTAATTCCATTACTTCCAAATTACTCCCCAAGACCCATATTAATGTGTACCAACTAGAAAGTACAAAGATGACAGCTAATAGTCATTTCAATGCTTTATTTAAGAAAAAAAAGAGAAGTAGTATTTGTACATGCATATACATGCTATAAAAGAATTGTCACTGTCCCTGCATTTGCTTTGAACAAAACCAATTTTAGCATTAAGATTTATCCAGTAGAAACACCGTCCTAAAAGAGCCACCTTGAAAGAACAAGCTGACAGAGTGTATGTTCCAACAAAACATTACTACATATTACTTACATTACGTCTGTGACATTTTAAGCATATAGTCCAGCAAGTATAAGACTTTAATTCACAAAAAAGAAAAAAGAATTTTCTCAAAAATACATCTTAAAAATAAAAAGCTAGTATTTATTCAAATAGCTTGCAAATGTTTTTCGGTCGGATGCCGGTGCAGTTTTACGTGTCGCGGGTATCTTGCTTAGTATTTGTCGAAATGATGGTGAATCTACCGTGCATAATGGTAGCATTTCCTCTACTACATACCTTGCTGCAAGTCTCTTCGTGTCTTTCTGAGTTACCTTTACTGTTTACGCTGAATAAAAATCCAGTTTAGCCTGTTTAGGTAAATTTGAGGCACTGTCTCCTTCGGCACAGGGGTCTTTAGCCCAGTGTTTTGTTTTAGCATGCACCCTGATTAAACGCTTTGACAAACTGCTTGAATTTGCAGCAGTTGAAATTTGTCTTTGGTTTGGACACAACTTACACTTTATAGTCATCTTTTTTTTTTTTTTTTATCTTTGTGTGAAATGAATTCGAAATCACGAGAATATCGCCATTTGTGGAAACATCCACAGTCAAGTCCTCCTCTGCCATTGTGGTCTAAAATTACCTTGCGTTTTCTCTGCACTCTTCTCACTCACTCTCACTCCACGCTGGGCTGTCAGCGCGGTTGTGCGTGGGCGCGCGAGCAAATTACGTAGACAGGCAGTAAACAGCTAATATGTCGAGGAAATATTAATTAGTGATTAATATTTTTCGCTTAGAAACATGAGTAATAGAAGTAACATTTTTTCGTAACTGTAATGTGATTACAAGAATTTAAACTGTAATGCGTTACATTACCTCGTTACAGGAAAAAGTAATTCGATTACTGTAACGCGGTACAAAGTAACACATTACCCCCAACACTGCATGAAACCTTAGCCTACAGTGGATATAAAAAGTCTACACACCCCTGTTAACACGGCAGGTTACTGTGATGTAAAATAATAATAATAATAATAATAATAATAATAATAATAATAATAATAATAATAAACCAAGATAAATCATGTCAGAACTTTTACCACGCTCAGTGTGACATTACAACGTATAAAACTTAAGTGAAAAACAATCAGAAGGGACAAACATTTTAGGGAAAAATATAAAACTTGGTTTTGAACAACCCGGTTGCGTAAGTGTGCACACATTGTTATACTTGGGGACGTGGCTGTTTTCTGAATGAACCAATCACATTCAATCTCATGTTCAAAAGTAATTATCATACAGCTGTCATCAATGAATTTATTCTGATTAACCCCAAATAAAGACCAGCTGTTTCTGTAGGATTTTCTTCACATCTTATGGTTTCATCTAACTTCTGAAGCCATGGTCTGCTAAGAGCTTACAAAGCCTGTACAGGGTCCCACTGTTGAAACGTATCAATCAAGAGAGAGGTACAAAAAATTTCCAAAACTTTACATGTACCATGGAACACCATGGAAGGCCATCATCATCAAGTGGAGAAAATGGAGCACCACAGTGGCATCACCAAGAACAGGACGTTCCTCCAAAATTTATAAGAGGACAAGACAAAAACTTAACAGGCCGCCAAGAGACCTACGGCAACATTAAAGGAGCTGCAGGAATATGTGACAAGTACTGATTACAATCTGCATGTGACAACAATCTCTCATATTCTTCACATGTCTGGGCTATGGGGTAGGGTGGCTAGAGAGAAGCCCTTTCTCACAAAAAAACCCAAAAACATCCAATTCAACTAAATCACACCAAACATGTGGCAAAATGTGTTATGGTCTGAGGAGACTAATTCCAAAAGGTATAATAATTCCATAATTCCAAAAGATATGTTTGGTGCAAAAAAAGCACATCACCAAAAGAACACCATACCCATGGTGAAGCATGGTGGTGGCAGCATCATGCTTAAGGGCTGCTTTTCTTCAGCCAGAGCTGGGGCATGGAGGGAATCATGAATATCTACAAAAACCAGTTGATTTAATGCAAAACCTTCAGGTGTCTGCTAGTAAGCTGAAGATGAAAAGAAATTTCCCCTTTTAGCATGACAATGACCAAAGCGTACATCCAAATCAACAAAGGAATGGCTTAACCAAAAGAAGATCAATGTTTTCGAATGGCCTAATCAGAGCACAGACCTGAATCCAACTAAAAATCTGTGGGGTGACCTGAAGCAGGCTGTGCACAGAAGATACCCTTACAATTTGATGGCTCTAGAATGTTTCTGCAAGAAAGAGTGATAAAATATTGCCAAGTCAAGATGTGCTTGTGCTCATCTTGCTCAGTGCATGTGCTTATTTTGATGTCATAGGTCAAGCACCACACCAATGAGCACACTTTCACAAGTGTGAACTCATGTAAATATGACCAACAGGGTGTGTTTTTACTTTATTTTTTTCCCTGATTTTTGTTTATATTTCATTTCACAAAAGCATTTAGCAAAAAATATTTTCACTTTTAATATGATAAATAAAAATTAATTAATAAAAAACAAAGTTACAGGGCTTGGTCTGGGGGAGGGGGGCACAATAACTCATCTGGGGGGCATGGCCTGCGAATGCTCCCCCATGACGCCGACAATTCAATTCAATTCAATTCAATTTTATCTGTATAGCGCTTTTAACAATGGACATTGTCACAAAGCAGCCTTACAGAAATAAATGGATTCACAAAAATATATTGTAAATATTTGAATTTATCACTGTGAATTTATCCCTAATGAGCAAGCCAGTGGCGACGGTGGCAAGGAAAAACTCCCTGAGATGATATGAGGAAGAAACCTTGAGAGGAACCAGGCTCAAAAGGGAACCCATCCTCATCTGGGTGCAACGGATAGTGCGATTATAA